TTGATGCAACTGGAGAGAGACTGCCACCTCTCTAGCTGAGTGGTCTGACTTACCTGTTGGGAAACTAAGGGGTGTTGTCTTAAGGTGATTAGGATTAGCCAGAGCCTTAGCTCTACGTGTGTGTGGCAGAGAAATTTTACAAAATCTAGGTTGGTGAGGAAGAGCCTGCGCTGACACTTTGAGGGCTTCATAATATGCTGCTTTAAGAGGAAAAAGTGTAGTTAATACTCAGTGCATCTCCAGACAGAGTAAGAGATTGCTCTGAAAACTAATCAGGTGATCTTTGTTTTCTATTGCTTCAAGTTTTATACAAAAATATTGTTAAATTCTGTAATGATGATATGCATCTTTTTAGAAAGATAATACATTTTTAAAAACTATTTTATGTAAGAACTGACAGAGGAATTTGCTTTGTATAATGGCAAGCTGGCTTTAAGAAAGCACTGTATCAAATATACTAGTCCAAAATTCTATAGATATGTTAATAGATGTATGTGCAACTAGATATGGACAATTGTATTTTTTTAAATAAATGTTTTTAATAAAATGACTTTCTGAATTACTTCCCTCCTTTCTCATCTATTGAGGTAATCTCTATGTAAATTTCCATCTGTGCTAAATATGGATAAGGGAAGTTCAACTTTTCCAAAGGTTATCATTAAAACCTGGCCTTCAACTATTTGATACATATCTACATTAAAATATTTAAAGCCTGTGTTGAGATAGGTAGTGAAAAGGGGAAATTGTGAAATGATTGTTGATACAAAAAGGAATTAAAAGAATACTAACTGGCTAGAACAATTATTTGCTTTGTGAAATCTTTATTTTGCTTTTAAATTTTACTTAACATTTTTCAGTTCAGGTCAGTTCAGTCACTCAGTTGTGTCCGACTCTTTGTGACCCCATGGACTGCAGCATGCCAGGCCTCCCTGTCCATCACCAACACCCGGAGTCTACCCAAACCCATGTCCATTGAGTTGGTGATGCCATCCAACCATCTCATCCTCTGTCTTCCCCTTCTCCCCCTGCCTTCAATCTTTCCCAGCATCAGGGTCTTTTTAAATGAGTCAGCTCTTCGCATCAGGTGGCCAAAGTATTGGAGTTTCAGCTTCAGCTTCAGTCCTTCCAATGAATAATCTGGACTGATTTCTTTTAGGATGGACTGGTTGGATTTCCTTGCAGTCCAAGGGACTGTCAAGAGTCTTCTCCAACACCACAATTCAAAAGCATCAATTCTTCGGCTCTCAACTTTCTTTACAGTCCAACTCTCACATCTATACATGATCACTGGAAAAATCATAGCCTTGACCAGACGGACCTTTGTTGGCAAAGTAATGTCTCTGCTTTTTAATATGCTGTCTAGGTTGGTCATAACTTTTCTTCCAAGGAGCAAGCGTCTTTTTATTTCATGACTGCAGTCACCATCTGCAGCGATTTTGTAGCCCCCCAAAATAAAGTCAGCCACTGTTTCCACTGTTTCTCCATCTATTTGCCATGAAGTGATGGGACCAGATGCCATGATCTTTGTTTTCTGAATGTTGAGCTTTAAGCTAACTTTTTCACTCTCCTCTTTCACTTTCATCAAGAGGCTCTTTACTTCTTCATCACTTTCTGCCATAAGGATGTTGTCATCTGAATATCTGAGGTTAATGATATTTCTCCCAGCAATCTTGATTCCAGCNTTCTGCTTCTGTTAGATCCATACCATTTCTGTCCTTTATTGAGCCCATCTTTGCATGAAATATTCCCTTGGTATCTCTAATTTTTTTGAAGAGATCTCTAGTCTTTCCCATTCTGTTGTTTTCCTCTATTTCTTTGCACTGATCGCTGAGGAAGTCTTTCTTCTCTCTCCTTGCCATTCTTTGGAACTCTGTATTCAGATGGGAGTATCTTTCCTTTTCTCCTTTGCTTTTGGCTTCTCTTCTTTTCACAGCTATTCGTAAGGCCTCCTCAGACAGCCATTTTGCTTTTTTGCATTTCTTTTTCTTGAGGATTGTCTTGTTCCCTGTCTCCTGTACAATGTCATGAACCTCCATCCATAGCATGTTTAATAGTTACATTTTTCATAGTTACATTTTTAAAGAAGTATTTAAGTCTTAATCAGACTTTTTTGTTTTAGTCCTTTGTCAGGAGCAGCTTTTGCTTATTTCCACTCTAGGCACTGTTTCTTCACATAGTTTTTCAAATTAGAAACTAGAGACTTCAGTTCATTTAGCAGATGAAATTAGGCCTTTTTAGAACTGGTCTAATAAACATGGGTGCAGGTGGGGTTAATAGGTGTCAGATCACGTTGGAGGTCTGTTTGATGTGTCCAGATTAAAGTCAGAGGAACACACTGCTCGCTCCAAGGGGCATGGTGGCCCTCGTGAGACCTCCCTTCAGGTGGTGGGCAGTGTTCCGTCAGCACAGTGGGTGGCAGCTGCTAGTGAGGCCTGCTGGAGTCCCCTAGACCAATGTTCTGGTGCCTAGAACAGTAGTCCCATGAGGGCGAATAATTGGGAAATTGGGTCTTCACCTCTTGGAGAGTCAGGAAGCCTATTAGAATACTAAAAGGTCTATGGAGTCCTTTAGGAAAAAAGCCTTGCTTAATCCACCACTTCTAACCTCTCTTGACTGCTGACACACCCTCTTTTGAGAGCCATGGTGTTGATTTTGTAATTACTTTGTATTTCACAGGTGCATCTAATGATAAACAAATATCCTAATATTGGGTAATTTTCCAGGGCTGGGATTATTATTACGTAGGAGAGAATCATTAACAGTTGTAAGATTTCATATTGATTGTCACTACAAAGCACTGCACTTGTTGGAATACACCATGTTACTGAAGGGAATCCATGAAGTTGACTTCATTTGGAATAATTTTACAGTAAGAGGGCATTACATAATGAAACATGAAACAGGAACAGTAATTTCTAGTAGCTGTGCAAGGTTAGGTGGCAAGCACTGATGTCAGGGAGGTTCCTGGGACGTCAGACTTGACTTCGTGATTCTCGTATGTTTTGAATACACCATCATTTGATAGAAAACCCTCTCTAGTCAAGGTCACCTTCTGTATCGCCAAATCCAGTGGCTGGTGTTCAGCCCATGTGGGGCCTTGTGGCAGCACTGGTTACTTCCTCCTCGAGATACTCTTCACATGCCTTCCAGGAAACCACATTCTCTCCTGAACTTCCTCCTGCTTCTGTGGCTTCTCTCATTTGCTGTGCTGGATCCTGTTCTTTTTTTTTTTCCAAACCTCTCTGTGTTTGAAAAAATCCCAGGGCTCAACATTCGATCTCTACAGTCCTCCCTGGAAGATCTCATTCTGTCCCATGGCTTTAAACAATGCTTACGTATATATATATAGGTGACCGTGAAATTTATACCTTCAGGCTTGACTTTTAAGCTCTAGATTTCATATCTATCAGCATTCTTGACATCCAAGATAGCATTGTAAAATGAACTGTCCTCAGACAACTCTTGAGCACCCCTATTGTCTTCCAGTGTTAAATGGCATCATCACATGCCCATTACACAAGTCAAATGCCTTGGGGTTATCCTTGATTCCCACCTTTCTCTCATGCCCCCCACCTGATTTATCAGCATATTGTGAGTTTGACTTTCAAAATACACTTTAACCCAGTCACTTTCACCACTTCTGATGCTACCAACATTGTCCAAGCCATCACCGTCTCTTATGTAGTTGACTGCAGCTGTACCGTTTCTGGTGTCCCCAGTTTCATTCTTGTTCCACAGTCTCTTCTTCACACAGCAACCAGAGTATCACTTCTAAACACGTAAATCAGATCATGAACCTTGCCTGCCCAGAACTAGCCCAATAACAGTCACGTGACTAAAAAAAAACAAACCCACATTCCTACCATGGCTTATATGATCCAGCCCCCATCTAGCACCCTAACTTACTTCCTGCCACTCTTCCGCCTTCCTCACCGCACTCAGCCACACTGGCCTGCTTGCTGGCCCTCAGATTCTTCGAGCATACTCAGTCTAAGGGTCCAAGGCCTTTGCACGCGTTGTGTGCCCTGCCTGACGGGATCTTCCCCGGGTGCATGGGTGCTTGATCGTGTCTCTCTTTGGTTTCTTCATAAATGGCACTTCTTTAAAAAGGCCATCTGGAGCCTCTCTTGACATGCCCTCTTCCTATCCCCCTTCCCTGCCTTATTTTTCTCTGTAGCACGCGATTATCACTCACCCTGTGGCATGTTATTTCTCTGTGTACGGTCTTCAAGGCAGGGACTTCTCTTTCTTTGCTGTATCTGCACCTAGATCAGTGCCTTAAACCTAGTAGGTGCCAGCAAATCTTTTTAAAATGAATGAATGAATTATCTAAAAGACTTTAGTCACTGTGTCTTCCTTTTGCGAATCTGGTGTACTGATGGGTTTGATTCCAAGTAGCAGAAGGAAATGTAGGAACAGGATGATTCCACAGCACTCTGAAATGTCAAAACCCATCAACGAAGATCAGGAAAAAAGCCCTACTTTCTCTGTACCTGATATTGAAGTGTGGTATAAAAGCCTTTGGCCTCTCCTTATTCTGAGTCTGTGTAAGAGGGAAGAGTGGTTTTCAGTCCTTCCTCTGAGAATTTTACTTCTAAACTATCAGGCGTGTGTATGGCTGAGAGAGACCCATGTCAAGAGAGAGACCCACCTTCAGGGATCATTGGATCGTTTGTTTCTGCGTGCATGCTCAGTCGTGTCCAACTCTTTGTGACCGTATCGACTGGAGCCTGGTAGGCTCCTCTGTCCATTGGATTTTCTAGGCAAGAACACTGGAGTGGGTTGCCATTTCCTCCTCCAGGGAATCTTCCCAACCCAGGGACTGAACTTATGTCTCCTGCGGCTCCTGCATTGGCAGGCAGATTCTTTACCACTAAGCCACTTGAGAAGCCCCCATTTGCCTTTGAGCGTATATAAAAGGATCGATTGTCCATGATGGCTTATTAAATTTAAAATATTTTATTTTAGGAAAGATACTCTTTTAGATTGGTTTCAATCTTGTTTTTTATATTCACAAATTTAATCATGATCACTTTAGATATAACCATTGATTCTTCTTCTAAATCTGTATGAAAAGGATGTTTTCTTGGAAAAACACAAGGAAAATACAGCTGCTTTCTTCTTCCCCAGGTCAGTCACTCAGTATGGTTAGATTGCACATACATAAATTTGGCTATCATAAAATAAGTATTTATGGACATAGTTAAAACTATACCCCTGGGCCACCAGCTTTCAAAAGATTTTGAATCTGTTTGATTTACAGTAAATATATACCAAACATATGAACAGTTTCTAAGCTGCTAATGAGGGGGTTTTCAGAATAAAAATTGCTCACAGTTATTAAGCAAACTTCTGTGTCAGGCATATAATAATTGCTTTACACAAATTTACTTAAGTCTTTCAGAATTCCTTTGAGGTAGGGTAATGTTCTTTTAGAAATATCACTTTATAGATACAAAAAGCAAGGCTGGAAGGGCCTCAGTGATCTGTGCAGGGCCACGGATCCACAAAGTGAGGTCAGGGCTGAACCAGGTTTCTCTCTAGCCAGGTCCTCATGACCATGTTAATAGCAGATGGAGCTGGCTTACATGACCATGCCGTGGCTCCAAGATAAGCCTTTTAGTGTCGGGCAGGTAAATGCTCCACCTGGACAGGTTACTGAGAGCCGTGACCCACTTATTCTGTACATTTATACACATACATTTGTATTTACACAGAGGAAGTGCAGGTAAACTAACACAGAGAGCCACTGTGATGGCCGTTTCACTGCTTCCAGATGGCTGTGCACTCCTAGCTCCTCCAGGTTGCTGAGTCTGCATTCTCTCTATGACTGCAGGACTTGATCTGGACAGGAGTTGGTACTCCTTGACTGAACTGCTTTCAGTATATTGCCCAGCTCAAATTGTTCAGTCGTCCAGGTTTTGTTAAAGAACTCTGATGTGGTATAAATAGTTTTTTCCCCATGGAAGATGTGCAGTTTAAATTAGGTATTTTTTGAGAAATTCTTAGTGCTATTTCTATACCTTTTCTAAGCGATTCAATGTCAGTAAGAAAAGCAGAAGCTCCATCCCATTCTCTCAGACAGCTTCTGGACCAATCAGCATTGGTGATTAGCAGTGGTATGCTGGTAAATGTTTATTAGATGATTCTCTAAGGAGACAATAAAGTCATGATTTTGTAGCTTTTGCCAATTTCTCACCATAAATAATCTCACCATGGCTGATCTCAAGCAACTAACCTGTTATCACTGAAAGTGAAATTGGAAAGATATATATCAAAGCATACCTTTATGTAGTATTTCTACCCTGCAGGTACAATAAATAAGCCTCAAGAGCATAAGTATAAAAAAATTAGGAAATGATGTCTTTTGAGTGAAAGTGTTAGTTGCTCAGTCATGTCTGACTCTTTGCAACCCCATGGATTGTAGCCTGCCAGGCTCTTCTGTCCATGGAATTCTCCAGGCAAGAATGCTGGAGTGGGTTGCCATTCTATTCTCCAGGGATCTTTCTGACCCAGGGATTGAACTTGAGCCTCCTGCATTGCAGGCAGATCCTTTACCATCTGAGTGCATGCGTGCGAAGTCACTGCAGTTGTGTTCAACTCTGTGCGACCCTATGGACTGTAGCCTGCCAGGCTCCTCTTGTCCATGAGATTCTCCAGGCAAGAATACTGGAGTGGCTTGCCATTTCCTTCTCTATTACCATTTGAGTAGTTATAAATTGCATTAAAAACAAAAGCAATAAATTTCTCTAATTTTAAAAAATAGCTGTGTTTAACAACTAGCTCTCTTAATTGGCTTTTATAAGCTGGTATGAGCTAGCCCAGCATACCGCTGAATTAGTGTCCCAAAGGTAGCAAGATTCAACTTTCCTTTCGATGTTTTAGACTATAGATGAACTACTGATAGCAGGGGTTGGAGGGATTTTGGATGATTAATAAGTAAAAGCACAGTCCTTTGAGCATGCCAAGGAGTAACCTGGGGTTTGTTTTGATTAATTTAAAATCTGTCTATATATAGCAATGATCATTGCTCTTTATAATTTCAACTTGTTTTTTCAAACTTCAACCAAGAGTGATCTTCAAACTCAGGGTGTGGTTCATGCAGAAGGTGGCCAATGGATGAAGCATCTAGGTGTCTTCCTTTCCAGCTGGGTATCTTGACTCACTCTCACCAAAAGTCTGAGCCAGGGAAGAGGAGAGCAACTTGAACAGCCAGGTAAACATCTAATGATTTGCCCAGGGAGGTCCGGGTGCAGAACTCAATTTAATTTCTTTTACTCAACCCAGTATCCGTGACGATGAGAACCAAAGCATTGAGAGGTGCCTCCCTCCGCTGCCACCCTGGCTTCTTCAGCCCTTCGACCTGAGCTGCTGCTCAGGACATCTTCGCCTGCCGCCCCCTCCTAGCTCTACCTCTGGTAGCTCTCCAGGCTCTCCATTCCAAGTGCTCTGTCTCCAGTAGGACCTACCAGAGAGAAGACAGGTAGCACATTGCAGCAACTCTGATTAACTAGCCCTTATGTACTCTAAGACCTTACCCAGGCATTTTGTTTCCCTGCTATTCACTGGCTCACATCAGGGAGCCGAGTGGAAAGTCAGACCTTCTAATTCTGGCAAACTAGTTGGTGGAGGCAGTTTGTTGAGACTAGTGTCTAGTGCTTGGGAAATATGTACTTCTTTTTATCTTCTGTGAACAGGGAACTCATTAAGTGTTACTCCTTGGATATTCAGCAAATCTTCCTTGAACGGTGGCTTAACTGAAGGCGCCGTGCCTAAGGTTAGATGGACCACACGAGTCCCCACCACCTCCGGCTCGACGCTGAGTGGGTGCTGACTGGGGGCCCTCACACTGATGTTTAAAGGGATCGTGTGTCCACCTACTGAGGGACCAGGCCGAGGCTGTCTGGCCCTTCAGTCTTTGTGACGGGTATTTTGCTTTCAATGATGAGGAGGAGGGTTTGACCAGGCACCTTCTCTTAAGAGCTGGCTATGTGCACAGCTGGTTCAGTTGCTGGGATTTGGAGAGCTCTGGGTGGAAAGGCAAGTGAGGTTTCAGGGTTGTGAAAATAGCTTTGGGACTTCCCCTGCCCGGGGGCTCCAGGAGCAAGACTATTCTTAGGGGGTGCCTCTGTCCTGAACAAGCTTTTCTGTGCCACTTGGCCTGAGGACTTCTTTTTGAGAAAGAGACTTGGACTGGAGTCAAACCCCAAACTGCAAAGAGATGACCAATTAGGCTGCTGGGCCAAGTTCCAGCCAAGGAGGCAGGCTCTGCCTCTCAGCACTCAGCACAGGCTGGAAAGCGATTCTTGGCCCACGGTCCCCTGGTCTGGTGGGATGCAGGAAGCCAGTTCACAGACTGTGCCCCGCTCCTGATGGAGAAACCATGAGTCAGCCTCTCCCGCTCCCTCCAGCCCTGAGAGCCCAGAGCAGACAATCGCAGGGCAAAGCAGGAAGAGGGGGAAAGGAAGCTGTAGAAAAATAAACATTTCCTTGCATTTTACTTGGAACAGAACATCATTTGTGGCGTGCTAAGATCCACGGCATCTCCCACATGCCCCCCCTGCTCTCTTTTCCTCCTCTTGTGTAGAAATAGATTCTTTCCTTACCTGATGAGAGTCCAGGGTGCATCCTGTGGAAAAACAGGAGCAAGATGTAGAAGGTAAAGGCCAAGCCACCAAAGATCACGCCACAGACCAGGAAGCTGTAGCTGCCCTGAGCCTGGAATACCTGCCAAAGGGGAAAACACAGAGATGCCGGCCATCAAAACCTTGCATGAGGATGTATTGCAGGAAGTGGCCTTCTCGGGCCGTGGCAGGGTTTTCAGTCAAGCTCAGGCCCACCACACCTACAGACAGAAACACAGGTAGGAGGGACATCTTGGCCTTGTTTCAAGGTTATATTTCTGGAGGTAGCAGAAATCCTGCTGTGTGGCAGTTGGACCTGCTGACCCCTGCAGTCCCTTTCAGCCCTCTCTGTCCTGGACCCTTTGAAAATCTCCATCTCTTCCTTAAAACTCCAATCATATTAGGTGCTTCTGTATCTGCAGATCCTGAGCAGAACTCTGCAGAGAAGATGTGTCTATATATATGTGTATATATATATATATATATATGTATATGTATGTGTGTGTGTGTGTATGTATATATATATATATATATATATATATCTCGTTTTATTTTGGAAAATGTAAAACATATGCCAGAGTGTTTTATGGAGTTCCTATGGACCCATCACTGACTTTAGCAATGAGCACGTTTCCTCTGTACCCCTCATGTCTTCCTGCACTAGATTCCACTGCGGTGAACCCCAGGCATTACATCATTTCAGTGCAGAGGGTGTCATAAGGGGGAGCTCTTCCTCTGGTCTAGCAGGGTGAAAGGAGAGGAGAATCGAGAAGTGGTTAGAGGGATTTCAGAGACTGAAAGACCTAACTCTGGATGTCATTTCTGTTGGTTATTAGAAGTGTGACTGAAGCCAAGTTGCTTAATTTCTGAGTTTCAGTATCCTCTCTAAAAAGAAGCATCATAATATCTACATTATAGTCTACCATAAAAAGCAGATGGATTTTTTTTCCCCTGCTGAAAAATTGAAACGTGGGTATGTTTGAAGAGAACTGGGCGACTTGGCCCTTGATCAGGCAGGAGTCGGGCAGGAAAGCTGGGCCCTTTGTAGGGTGGCCAGAGGTGAGGAGAGGTGGGAATGGGGGGTTAGGGGGATGGAAAGGAACTCCATTCTTGGGCCTGCAGCCCAAGCCTGTCCCGGGCTCTGAGAGCTAAACATTCCCACGGGGCCCCTGGCCCTGCTCCCAGACACGGCTTGTGTTTGCTTTGGACCATGCCTCATGGCCCTTCACATCTCCAGTCCTGCATTTGGAGGCTCAGCTTCCAGGGGTGGCTCAGAAGCGGAAACAGGTAACACAGACGGAGTGGGGCCCCGCTTGTCGTGCAGGAGGCCCGGGGAAGGGACAGCCGGGTTCAGGAGGGGCTGGCTGCATCTTCTCACTGCCTGGAGGGGCGCGCCCCTCATCCCCCCCCCCCCCCCCACCGGGTCTCCCTACATACCGAACCAACCAGCATCTGGAGGACCATCTCTCCAACACCCGCCCCTGTCACCAGCACTGTGGTCGCACAGCCTGAACAAGAGAGAAGGATCGGGCTTAGTGATGGCAAGTTATGGAGACACACGTCCGCTGGCATAATCCAGGTGGACTCCTGAGGTTTCTTAGACTTGAGCCCTTAACCCTGCTTGGGTCTGTCATTATATTATTTCCCTGTTCTGAAACCTTCAGTTGCTCACGATTATCTTCAGCGTTTATTCCAAGTTGCTTAGCCTGGCATTCAGGGCCCTTCCCAATGTGAATACCAACTACTTTTCCAGGAAGATTCCCGCTCTCCTCTGCAGGAAGGCCTTGCTCCCCTACACTCTCACTAACCAGCCACACTTCCAATTAATCTGGCCACGTGGCACAGGCCTTCAGAGCCCAAGCTTCAGAGTCAGACCTGGGTTTAAAGCCTGCTCCATCACCTACTAGCTATGGGACCTTAGGCAATTCCTTCCCTGTCTCTTCGGCAAAATGGGCATGATACCTCCTTGGGGCTGCTGTGTGGATAACCCTGACACAAACACAGGTGAGAGCCCAGCATAGCGCTGCCCACAGTAAAGCCTTGAAACCAGGCCGGTTCTCTGCTTAAACCCCTCACGCTGCTGTCAGGGTCAGGGCCAGATGCTTAAATGCGGCTTGCAGGGCCCTCTATCACCTGCCCCCCTGAGAGCTCAGACTGTCACACTGTCTGCTCACAATCCACCCTCCAGCCAGGAGAGACTCTTCCGTCTGCTGACCTGACACATGCTCACCACCAGCTTCTGACACGTACCTTCACCCCCTCCTGAACACTCCTCCTCCTCTTGGTCTGGAAAATTCATTCGTCATTGGAGATAGCCTTCATTATCATCTCCCCCAGCCCCGAACCTGGATTAGCTGCTCCTCTGTGCTCCCTCCGTCCCCTGCTCCCTGCTCTCGTGTAGCGCCCCCTCTGCCCGCCCTGTCTGCCAGGCACCTCCCCTACAGACTGGAAGCCCACGAGAGAGGCTACGCCTTGAATTTTAGTTCAGCGGCCTGTATCACTGCCTGTCGCCACACCAGTGTATGCTAGACAGTCAGATCAGCGTCGTCTCTGGCATTCTGGGCCCTCCTTTGTCTCACGAGAGTGCACACCTGTCTCAGCTGTTGCTCTCACACTGCTCACTGCCCTGCCTCTCCCCAGCACGCCCTTCCTCTTGGGACATTAACCACCCTGGGCCAGGCTCTCTCTAGATGGTCCGTAGCACACACGTGACTGTCTACTCTCCCCAGATATTCAAAAACCTCTCAGTACCTTCTTCGCGGGAGGTACCCTCAGGTGCTAAACCCTGAGGGTACTCAGATGACTCATCTGAGTTAACATCTATACTGAGCACCTGTGAGCACTTACGCTGTTAAATCAGGAGCTTTGCATGCCCTCTACCGCACAGAACAACCCTAAAAGGAAGGTATGGACATTCCAATTTTGCACAGAGGAAAACTGAGGCTCAGAAGGGGGGAGGAAGATGAACTGCACCAGGTGACAAAGCCAGAAGGTGTGGAGGCAAGGCTGGCCTTCAGGTCTGCTGCTGACCTCAAAGCCACATTCTTGCCTCTGTCCCTTGCTGGCTCACTTAGGGCGCATGTTGAGGAGAGGCACAGAACATGAGGACGGAGGTCTGGAGGTGGGACGAACAGGAGAGGCGGGGACGGCGGTGGGGGGGGCTCGCCTTCCCAGTGGGGTCAGAGAGGTTCCCGAGGGTGTGACGGGGCGGGGCACAAGCTGAGAGCACGTTCCCTGTGCCAAAGGGTGGAGAGAGGCAGGTGATTGAATGAGGTGGCCTGTGAGGGGAAGCAGGCAGGGCGGCTGCAGAAAGGGACAGAGCTCGCTCTGGAGGAAGGCGTGAGGGCTGTGAGCATCTGCAGAGGGTGGCAGCCCAGGAAGTGGCCCTCACCCTGGCTACACGTTACCATCACCCGGCAGCTCCAGTACCTCAGGCTGTGATGAAGCCCAGGCTCTGTTACAAGGGCTCCGGGTGATCTGAATGTGGAACCGCATTGAGAATCTCTGATGGAGGCAAATTGGAAGGCCAGGAGACAAGCCAAGAGCTGCCAAGGCATGGATGGGGGAACATTAAATGTTCAAAACATAATTATTTTTAATTAACTTGTTTTTCTGTAAAAGATCTTTGCTATGCACACTCGGGAGGCTACAGAAAGGGAAGATTAGTTGAGAATCAGAGGTTTTCAAAAAAGCCATGTCACAACCCTGAATCGGTGTAGAGTCATTGTTCCAATCCTCTATGTTTCCAACAACATCCACAAGAAAACAAAGCAAGGTGGTACTTTTACTGATAAGTTATAAAACCCTTTCCCTGAGCTATAATTTTTCCCATGCATATTTGCTTTTCCTTGAACTTGGAATTTCCAGCACATGAATGTTACACAAAATGCCAGCTGTGGGTTGGCTGGTTCAGTTGCTAAAGAATCTGCCTGCAATGCAGGAGACGTGGGTTCAATCCCTGAGTTGGGAAGATTCCCTGGAGTAGGACATGGCAACCCACTCCAGTATTCTTGTCTGGTAAATCCCATGGACAGAGGAGCCTGGCAGGCTACAGTCAAGGTTGCAGAGAGTCGACTGAGCGACTAAAGCACCACCACCACTGCCAACCACTGTGGGGAAAAAGAAAATGGGAAAGAGGGGCTCACTGCTTTGTCTGTGGTCTGAAATCCAGTATATGTGGAAAGAAGGGAGCCACGCAGGTCGGAACAACCCTGTTTGTGAGCCTTTTCCCACATTCAGGCTGTGAGGAGGTGGGCGGGGACCTTCTGGCTGGGAGACCCCGGGGAGAGGCTGGGCGCGGAGGAAGGTGGAGCTCACCTCGGTACTGCAGCGCGTCCTCGGTGTAGGCCAGCATGCTGGGGAAGGTGCTGCTGAGGGACAGGCCCAGGCTGGCCGTCCCCACGAACAGGAAGACCACGTTGTGGGAGAAAACAAGAAGCACCAGGAACGTCACCACCACGCCGACCTGTCACAGCAGAGAAGCGGCCGCTGAGGAACTAGGGAGCAGCCGGGTAGCCGCTGAGAAAGGAAGGCCGGTCCGTCTCCAGACGTGAGAAACGCCCCATGGCCCCGGGCGGGCTGTGTGACTAGGGCACGGCCCTGTGGAGTGCGCGGGAACTGCACCTTCCCCAGCGGGCGGCTGCCAAGGAAGGAGAACGCGGAGGAGGGCAGGAGAGACCGGGGAGAGGAGGGCGAGGAGCCCTGGCATCTCGCGGACGGCCTGCCGTGCAAGCTTAAGGAGCGTTCACCTGCTGCTCCCCTCCGCTTACACCAGGCCTGCAAGAGTTACCTGAGAATCGATACACTTGGCACGTTTGAAAAACGCCTAACTCAGGACTTCGCTGGCGGTCCAGCGGTTCAGAACCTGCGCTTCCATTGCCGGGGGCGTGTGTTTGATCCCTGGACGAGGAACTAAGATCCCACATGTGGTGAGGTGTGGCAAAAAGAACAACAAACCCGACTCACTCTCTTCTGTTAGCCTGGTTGACAGAAGACGCAGGATGCCAGGGCAAGTTAGCAACTCCACAACCAACTCCGCAGACTGGCGCTCAGCCGCTCCCCAGCTGCCTACCAGCCCCTCACCCTCGCCTTGCCTTCCAGCCAGGACAGAGACTCCCTCTCCCCATCTTCTTCCCTGGCCAACGGGAAGCGCCCCAAAGGCAGAAAGCGCCTCTTAGAGAACGCGGCAGCCCAGCCGCTCCCTGCAGGGCCCGGCACACAGCGTGTGTGCTCATCAACCCGTGAGTGAATGTTGAGATCCAGGAGAACATCAAGAGCAGAATGACCCTTAATTTAAAATTGAACGAAAAATAATAAAAAAAAATAAAACGGAGCGGAATCGGAAGAAACCACGGTGAATTTGAGACTTGGCAGCTGCAGCCTGTTCAGGGTGGTCCAGCTCTGGTCCCAGCAGCCTGCCCGAGAAAAGCACCTGGAGAGCTTAAAAACAGCTCAGACACCGGGTTCCACTCCACTCCTCCCCCGACTCCCTGGGGCTGGGGCCCAGGAATCTGTATATTCCAAAAGCACCTCGGCAGGGGTGGGGGAGCTGATGTGTTTGGAAATCACTTGCTGTAGGATAGTGTTTTTCCAAACTTCTTGATGACAGAACACCCCCCCACCTCCAATCCCCACCCCCCAGTGTCTGTTGAGGATATAGATTGCTAGCCCCTACCCCTGGACATTCAGATTCACCAAGTCTGAGTTGGACCCAGAAATCTGACTTTCTTCTTTAAACTCAGCACCCCTGGTGAGTTTATTGCCAGCGCCTGAGTCCCGTGGAGGCCTCCGACTTCCTGCTTTCTCCCAAACCCAGAGTCACACCCTCTGTCTTTAAGCAGCTGGCCACGTGTGCTGGAGAGCCGGGCCACCAGCAGCCTCTGTGGCCTCATCTCGGGTCACCCCCGCTCCACAGAATGGGCCCTCTTCCTCCTAAGCATAGCGTGCTGCCCTCCACCCCTCCCCTCTCCCCAGGGCTCCCCATTCATGTCGCCTCTGACCCGGTGTCCTCACAGGCTCCCTCCCTTTCTCCTCTGCCTGCAGAAGCTCATACCACCCAACTCTTGACAAACAAGCCTGTTCAGCTGGGACGTGAGTGTAATCCTCACACTGCTACATCCTTCTCACCCTCTCCCTTCCCTGCTTGAAGCCCCCATCAGCTCCATGCCCCCTGCAGTGGAAGCAATGAATCCTGGAAATTCCCACCCTCAACCCCTTGAGTTTGGCTACTACACCACCCCCACCTCCCAGCTACATTGAACAAAAGTTCTTTCTTTTAAGTCATCAGTCAGCACAAGGCCGAATCCAAGGGCCTTTCTTGGGGCTCATGATCTTTGGCTTCTATGGTGGTGCTGGTGGTTTAGTCGCTCAGTCGTGTCCGACTCTTGTGATCCCATGGACTGTAGCCTGCCAGGCTCCTCTGTTCATGGGACTTCTCCAGGCAAGAGCCTCTACATTATTTCCCAACCCTCTCTCCTCTAGAAATTAAAAAAGTACATTCTGACAGTGGATTGGACTTCCTGGAGAGGTGGCAAGTTTCCATTCACTGGGGGTATTTAGACAGACTTTTGGACCCCTTGGAAGCGGTATTATAGAGGTGATTTGAGCCCTGGTCAGAAGTTGGGCTAAACAACCTTACAGGAATCTGTAATCTGCACCTCTTTGTCATAGATGGTGGCAGGGATACACATCAGGACAAAAAGTCTTAACCACCTCTCAGGCCCAGACATCCTGCCTCCAGAGAGACTAGTTCCTTGAAGGTCATCCTACGTGCCAGTCTGGGAGAGCTGCAAGATGCAAGTTCCCAGGGCCCATTCCCTAGATGGTGCCTCTGAAGGCCAGGGGACCCCTGATCTCTGCTGGCCACAGTGCTCTGACCCCGTGGGCACCAGGGTGAAAATCGAGGATTGAGGTCAGCACTGCTTCCCTCCTCATCCCCCAGGCTGTCAGCAAGGAGCTGCTCCTGACATAGCACCAGTCACTTCCCATAGCCCCTTTCTTCCATGGGTACAAAGTCCAAGCCCCAGAGAGAGGAAAGGGCTTTTCCAAGACCATGCAAGTAGGCTGCATGCCTTGGGTTTCCACCCTGTCCACTCCAGCATCTCTTTCCTACCCTCTCTTCCTTGTACCTTGACATCCCCCCGCCCCCAACCTGGGGCAGAGTCCAGTCTGAGAAGGTGTCCTGGGGCAGGGCTATGACACAGGGTGAATGGTTCTTCTGGGTCTCCAACAGTAAAAGGGCGCCGCTTACCACATTGATGAAAACCATGGTGGCTGGCTTCACTCTGGAGGAGACAGGAATGGAGATGAGCCGGCCCAGGGTGATGAAGCCCCAGAAGAGGCTGGGGAGGTAACCCGCCACCTTGTGTCCCACGGACAGCGGCTTCTCCACCGCATAGCTGTACACGAAGGCGGAGTACGCGCCCTGTGGGAGACGGGCCCTGTTGAGCACACCTGCAGTGTCCCCAGCCGGGCAGGCATGGTCTGGGCTGGCAGGAACTGGCCCTGCTCCTACAGGCCTGGAGCCGAGTCCACCTGGCAGGTGTAGGCCTGAGCTGAGGCTGGAATCGGCGCCACAGCCTGCAGGTGGTGCGTACAGGAGCCAGGGACTCAGGAAGGTGTGTCTGGGTCCCAGAGGAGCCCCACGGGGTCCAGGCAGGCAGGCAGGCTCTGCCCCCCTCAGCCAGAGCAGAGTTTCACTACATGCCCTATTCACGAGGATTCCACAGAAGGTTTTTTGCTAAAGGAAGGGTGCTGCAGCTAAAAAAAGGTGTGTACAGGCATCTCATTTTACAGATGAAAGGGCGGGGGGAAGTGACTTGCCCAAGGTCACACTGAGCATTGGAAGTCAACCAGTTCTGTCACGAGTACTTTCTACCAGGTCATCTAGGCCTTTAGGGCCTTTTCTTTGGAGAGTCCCTCATGTGGCAACCAGTTAATCAATCAGCCACTGCAAACGGTCCTAATCTAATCCTTAAGAGATTTCTGGAAAAAGGCACTAAATAGAGTAACAGAGGTCACTGGTGGACTGAATAGCTAGCTGGGCCCAGATACTGCCTGTAGCTTGTTTACCACCCAGGCTTGGAATGTGCTCCAGGAAGCAGAAAGCCCTAGCGTCTATATGGCATGACCTCTACCTGGGGGAACAGGGCACTGCCCCTTTGAAAAAAATGTGTCCCCTATCCACAGGGTTCATGAAAGTAAAAACCAAACAATACAAAAGACCATAGTTCCAAGAGGCTGTATTCAGTTCTAGAGAGGCTCTTCCCTGGGACTTATCCTGGGTTTAAACACTTGGACCAACTGTACTAGAGGTGTGGTCTCTCGGAAACCTTGATCCACCTCCTTTCTCTCTCCACCCCTGGACTTGAGGCTCAGGGGGTGCCCCATGAAGGGCACCCTCCGAGGGCAGGCTCACCGTCAGCCCATCGGTCATGAACAGGACCAGGGCGGCTGTGATGTGGATGGCAAAGAAGGAAGAAGGGACCCCTCTGAAGTTCTTCCTCTGGCAGCAGCTGAACAGGTCCTCGTGCCCTGGACAGGACACAGGAAGTGAGGACAGGTCTCAGTTCTCTGCTTTCTCGGCGCGCCCAGCCCTGGCAGAGAGCAGACCACTTCCTGCCTCCCCCCTTCTCCACCTTCCGACGGCTCGTGAGGACAGCCCCCGTTTGTTTCACAGGGCTGTTGGAAGCAGGGCTCAGAGAGGCCAGGCAGCGTGCTCGAGGTCACACAGGCAGGGTGGAGGCGGGAGCTGCTGTCCTCTCCTCCTGGCCCGTTTGCTCCATCTCTTGCCCCTCCCCGCACCCTGAGACCAGCAGGGCCAAGGGGTTTTTCCCAGCCATTACCACCTGTGATCCACGTCCTCCCTCTGGGCGGGAGGGCTTAGCAGGGGAGCCTTGGAATGGGGCCTTGAGCCAAGGGTTCCTTAGAGCCCCCACCTGGGTGGAACTTGGGGGACAGCGAGGACACGTCTTCCTTCTCAGGAGGCTGTGTCTCCAGGGTGAGTTCGTCTGCGGACAGCAGCAGGGGCCTCCTCTGAGGGCAGCAGGCCAGCAGGCGCTCTTTGGACAGCAGATACAGCACAGCCAAGGGTACCGGGAGCTGGGGGCGGGCAGAGGGTCAGGAGAGTCTGCTCCCCGCCCGTCTGCCCGTTTCCCAGCCCGGCCTGCTGCACACGCCTCAGCCCAGCTGTGTGGCAAAGGTCTGCACGGTCCTGGGAAACAACAGCTCTTTTCACAGGGCGCCCCCTGAGAGCCAGCCCCAGCTAAGGCAGCCAGGTACCTTGACCCCTGCAGGCCTGTAATTAATTGCTACCAGACTCCAGCTGCAGTCGTTTCCCTGCACAGACAGGTGCTTCTCACACGCAAAGCCTGGACTCACACGGGGTCTCTGCTGGCACAGGGCATGCAAGAGCTAAACTCCTTTCCAGCACCCCTGTCCTGAGCGGGCTGGCAATGGGCCCTCACACTCGCTCACGCTGGCAGAGCATGTTATGCTTCAGAAAGAAGTTTGGCTTTTGTCCCTCACGGTTCTGTAAAACGTGCTGGGGGAAATCATTAAACCTACTTTCCAGGTGGGGCAACTGAGGCTCAGAGTTATCACTTAGTCTAAACCTGCTCCAGTGGGAAGGTCTGAGAGCACCGGCGTGGGCCACACAGCTGACTTGAGGCAGGCTTAGACCGGCGCCCGGGCATCCCAATCCTGACCAGTGCTGTCTCCATGCCGGGGCTGTTCTGGGTGATGTCATACCTCTCAAAAGCACAGGGGCTGCCCTCAAGGTAAACAGGCAGGGACTCCTTTAAATTGAGAAATGCATGCTACGGGCAACACACATGCAGAGCCCAGAGTCAGGTTGACTGACATTTGTGTTAAGTCGCTTAGGCTTTATGAACTCCCCAGAGCAATGAGATATGTCTCCTGCTCCTGGAGTTGCCTCCACTGCCTCCCTCAGGTGCCTTGCCTGTGTCTAACCGCCCTTGCTACCAGGAAGTCCTTCATTGAGTCTAAACTCTGCCCTTCCTGCTGCAACTGCATCCCGGCTCCTTTTGCTTTAGAAGGAGAAGCCCAGGGAGCTGTGGAAGTGTCCCAGGGGCCAATGGGCCCCTCGGGGCTCACAGGCAAGGCTGGCGCTGCCTGGCACCACCCTGGGCAAGCCTCTACCTCACCTGGAGACAGGCTGGCTCACACAGGCATTTCCCCAAGTCACCTAAACGCCTCCCCTGTGCTGGCACCTCCTTGGGGGCATCTTGGGAGCCTCCTTCCACTTATTAATGTCAGTCAGGCACACCCCAGCAACATTAGAGCCATAAACCCTGCCTGAATGGAGGAGACGGCCCCTGCCCCCAGAGCCCTGGGTCTGAGGCAGGAGGTGAGGCCCTCTCTCCGATCTGATGGGGGAAACAGGAAACCCACACGCAGAGGCCTGGGCAGCAGAATGCCTGGGTGAAAGCCAAGGGGAAACAGCTGTAAAAGAGGTGTGCTCACTCAGGTTGGGCTTCCCAGAGAGGTGGGTGGTGGGAAGAACTTCACCAGGGTTGGCTGATGTTGCCAGCGGGAACACAGTGGACCTTTATTAGGAGCCCGTGCAAGAAGCAGAGGCTCCACCTTAAAAGTCAGAGGATGCCAGGTGGGCTGGCCTGTGTGTTTGCATTTGCCCACATGCATGCTTAGCCCATTCTCTTCTGGGGTGGACTGTTTATCTTCAGACACAAACCAATGGAAAAAGTCCGGAAATCCTGCAGCAAACAAAGTGCCTCCAGTCTGTGCCTCATGGAGCAAGAGAAAACAGACCTCAGGCTTAAGCTGGAGGGACGTTCCGGCTTCCTGGTCCCAGAGTCTCAGCCTTGACATTGTACTGACAGGGCGCTTTGCCTTCCGAGGTCCCCCTTGGAGGGCAAGGCCCAAAGCGGCATTGTTCCCCAAACAATGATGGGCATGGGAAGAAAAGGGAAGGAGCAGGGGGAGAGGGGTGCACTTTTGAGGCCGTCCCGTGAGGACTCTGGTACAGGGAATGTTACAGAAGAGAAGGGAAATGAGCAGTTGATCACAGGGCAGCTGGGGGGGCTTGTGCCGCAAGTCAGGGTTCCAGCCTGGTCAAGTCTCTTACTGGCCCCTTCATCAGGCCCTGGAGCCAGTGACGATCTGACTGTTTAGTGGGACTGGGTGTCCTCAGAGGTCTCTTTCAATGCTACCAGTATGGCATCGCTCTGAGGCCTAGCCTGCCTGCCTTGGGAGGGGTAACTAGACTAACAGACTCCAAGTCAGGGTGATAAACTATGCGGCACCTCCATCCCATGGCCAGGTGGATGGCCACCTGGACTACCCCCACCCCAGCGCCTGCTCCTGGTGCTCCCAGCCATCATCCCTAAGCTGGCCAGGAGCTGGTGGGGGTTCCCTAACCTCTCCCTCTGGCCCCAGCCTGGGCTAACCTAGGCTGCAGGGCCCCGGGGGGGTTTCCAGCCGGATACGGGCCAGTCCTGACTTGGCAGAGGAGCATGAGAGCTGGGGTGCAGAGGGCCCTGGGATCCACCCCGGTCTGTCCCCGTTCTGTCCCCACCAGGGCAGCCACATCACGCGGGGTCCCTTGGAGGTCATCTTGTCCACCTTCCAGCCTCCATGGGGGCCCACCTCACAGCAGCAACGTGAGATGCCCACTAGTGACAGGACCGCGGAGGGGAGCCTGGCGTGTCCTGCAGGGCTCTGTCCCAGGGTCCAATTCACCTGCCCTTGGAGGAGAACAGCTGGTTTCCTTAGGGAGCTCCAAGGACCTGGAAGTCCACCCTGATCTCATGGCACTAAACCTGCTCACTGTTTAACCTCCTTGGAGAATCGCAATCCCAGGATGTCACAACTGAAGGGCCTTAGAGGTGATCTCCTATGACTCCCTGTGGTCAGGATGAATCCCTGCGGGTCGGCTCTCCCATCTTCTTGCCTTCCTGAAGGCACATCTCAGCCCCAGTCCATTTCTTAGAAATGGAAGAATCTGTACTGGGAGCTGGTATGGACTGGTAGGAGACTGTCCACTAGCCCTCACCCAACCCTGCCCAGGGGCACTCACGTTGATCAGAGCCATAATCCAGAAGGCATAGGACACACGGGTTCCTGCCCCGTCCTGCGAGGGCAACCCAGGCAGCGTCCGGTTGGACCAAGGCTGGGCCTCAGGGTGCTGACGGCTCAGGACCCTGGAGGCATGGAACAGGTGGCTGCCAGAGGTGGCATTGGCTGTGCTATTGGCAGGCAAGCAGCTGGCCTCAGACAGGAAAGGGTCGGCGATGAGAGGGCTCAGCAGTGCCCCAAAGCCCACAAAGAAATGGAGAACCTGGGGGGGGAGAGAATTGGCGGGGGTGAAGGCATGGCTCAGGCTTTGCACGACCCCCATTGTGGGAGCAGCAGAGGATGGGAGGCAGGAGGGGTGAGGAGTGGAGCTCCTGTCCCCACCTTCCTGCCTGAGATAACTTGGTGACAGTGGCCAGCCCCTCCCTCACTCCCTCTTTCCCAAAGCTTAACCCTCAGCCAGGGGTTATCCCCATGCCAGAATCCACCAGGTAACACCCCAAAGGGAAGAGGGCTTGACAAAGGGCAGGGCTGGACTAGAGTCCTGGGCAACAGGGAGGAGAAGGACGGAAGAAGAAACACAGGAGGAGACGAGAGAACAGCAAGTCCTTCCATCACGCCCCTTCCCAATTTACAAAGAGCCTTTTCTTGTCAGCACTTAGATTCCTGTGACCCTTTGTGCACAGTGGTCATCACCCCGTTTCAGAGATGAAACACCCAAGTCCAGAGATGACAGCCAGTGTGGCCCAGCTGGCAGTGGTCACTCTGAACTTGACCCTGCTGCTCCTTCCGGGTCACCGTCCTGGCCTTGAGGAAGGGACACCCGGCCTGGGCAGAGGGCTGAGGGCGCTCCTCCGAGCCCCGCCCCGCCCTGCCCCAGGCCTGCTGGGGGCTCACCTGGAGGAAGACGGCGGAGTCCTTCTGGTAGATCCTCACCAGCTGCATGTTGGCTACGGTGTCGATGCAGCCCATGGCCAGGCCGGCCAGCGCCATGACAGAGGCCAGCACCTTCACGTCCCGGCAGAAGGGGATGGTGGCAAACACCAGGGAGATGGCCAGGGAGGAGGCGAAGAGGGCCCACAGCGACTGGGCCAGGCTGCCGGGTGGGAGGCGAGGTCAGTGGGGGTGCATACCCCCCAGCCCCATCCTCCACTCGCTGGGCGGACCCCCAGGGAAGCCGAGACATTCCTGTCATCCTCTGGTTGGAGGGCAAAGGGAGCTGTGGCTCTCTGTTGCTTATTATTATAGGTTGTGGGCAAGATGTCTGAGTCTCCCCCGGTGACAATCCTTGCCGCACAGGTGGTCGTGAGAACTATGTAAGGGACGTTTCACAAAGCATAATTGCTATTATTGGACTTATAAAAGTGATTTTGTATCCTTTACTTTGAACTGTTTGCTGATAAACAATTATATGCGCAGATACCTCCATCCCTCCCAGGGAAGGGGTGGGGTGAATCGGTCCTGAGCATCTCTGGGGAGCCGTGCCACGTGTGTGAGGCTGGAGGTGGGCCCGGGAGCACGGCCAGGCCCCCACACACACACAGAGGTGTGGGGCACGCTGGGCCCTCTGCAGGCCCCAGGACCGAGCCACCCAAACCAAGCCCTCAGCCCAGATATCCGAGTAATCTGGTGACCTTTCTACATGCCCGCGAGTGTCCAGAAGGGAGGCCCTCAGCCATTCCCACCAAGCGGTGTCTGGGTTGAGAGCTGAGTGAGTGAACACATGCCTGGAAGCCTACGGCTTTGTCGAGGTCTTTGGGGTGCACCCTGCCCAGCAACCAGACTCTCGAGAAAGGAAGGAAGCCTCATGTTTTCTGGGGCCAGTCTGAAAGGCTAAGGAGGGGGCAGGGGGGGAGGAGAGTGGGCAGAAGAAGGTTCTGGAAGGGGGGTCTTATGGAGGAAGCACCTCAGATTATGAGAAGTTGGAGAGCCCTAGGCACCTCCATCTGGCTGTCCAGACTTGGAAGGTCGAGGGGGTTGGTGAGAGTCAGTATTTACATGTCAAGACCTGCATTTCCAGCTCACTGACAACAAGTGAGTCAAGAGACCCTTCAGGCTGTCCTCTCCGAGGAGTTCTTGCCTCTGACCCTGTTGGCGCTCAGCTTTTCATCTCGTTCCATCTTTGATTAAATCCGTTATCAGAAGGGCTCTGCTGATAGCAGTGGATCGCTATTTCCTTGTTTTCTTGTTTGTAGGCTGGTCTACCCATGGTGACCCCTGCCAACTCCCAGCTCTGAGCTGTGTGTGAGAAGGCAAGGGAGACTGACCACCAGAGGCAAGCAGGAGGGGGCCGTGCTGCGGGGAGGCCTGCTCAGGGCCCCAGCCCCCGTCCTGCTCCCCCCACACCGCGGGCCGCAGGCACTGACAGCCGCCTGCTCCCCGCGCTTCACATGCTTCTGCTTCCTGCTCCCTGGCGGGCCGTCTCCTGGTACTGGCACAGAGGCGATGCCCACGCCTCGCAGGCTGACAGGCCTCTCAGCTCTCTTTCCACTTCCTTTCCCTGCAGAAGATTGACTAGGCAGCCTCCGGGGTAGCCTGACTTCAGGGGTGACAGGGGGTCCCTGTCTCCTCCTCAAGGTCCCCGCCTGAGCTACTCCATGGACTTGACATTCCTCACCCACCACTTTCTGCTAAAGCACAGATGCCCCAAGTACAGAAATGCTCTCCTGAAAACGTGATATTATCATTCCTGTCTTGAAAAACCTGGATGAGCATGGTTAACCAGTCCTCTAGTACAGTCCAGAGGGAGCCCGACCTGGGATCAGCGAACTGAGAGGGCAGGAGTGTGGGAAGGTGTGGGGAAAGAAGGGAGAGCTAACATCACGGCGGACACGAGAACAGCGGACACCTGTTCACGGCGTCCAAGACATTTGGCGCACACAACAAAGCTGTGAGCTGGACCTTGCAACTGGGCCTCGTGTGACTCACAAGGAAACGTAGGTCAGAGAGGGATCAGAGGCAGTTAGGAGAAGGGCTAAGAAAGCAGTGGACGGATCCCGGACCACCGCCCAGGGATGCTGACTTGCTCCCTACGCCGTGCCGCTTTCCCTGGAGGAGTGTGTGCACACACGTGTGTGCGTGGAAAGGGTGGTGCTGGGCCACAGACCCTGCTGGGCTGAGAGGGGAGCAGCCAGCAGGGAGCACGAGGCCAGGTTCTGCCGGGCCTGGGACTTAGAAAGCGGCGGCAAACGGCTATAGTCGCTAGGACTGAGTGGACCCTCTGCTGGTGTTATGGGAGCTCCAACTGCTTCTGGATAATGCTGGCTCCATCACAAGCTTCCTAAGGAAACTGCTGCCTTCTGCTCTTTGCGGGACCCACACCTGGACTGCGCCTAGACCTCCATCCCCTGAGGCGTCTGGTCTGGGGTTACTAAATAATGCCAGTGAGATGGGAATGCTTGAGGAAGGGCTGTCTTTTCACCCCACGCACCATGGCCTGGACAAAGGGACCAGAGACAGTCAGGAGGCTGATGGTATGGGGGTGACAGAGAGAAGGAGACAGGAGTGATGAGATAAAGAGTCTAGTGGGCCAGGTGGCCAGAAGGTGCGGAGTGAAACAAGCGGCTCGGGAGACAGGGCTGGGGCTCAGAAGGGCTGGGGGCCAGTGGGCAGCCTTGCCAGGCCTCTCCTCGCTCCAGTGGGTACCCTCTCACTTTCCTGTTCTAGAGAGGGACACTCAGTATCCAGAGAGGGCCCTTTTGTTCCCAGGCCCAGGGACAGGCAGGAGGGAGGGATGGAAAGAGAACTCGAGGAAAGGAAAGGCTGGAGGCAGGCTGGCCTGGGAAGTCCCTTCTGCCAACCCCGGGCCAAGCCGGGCCAGCTCCTGCCAACCCCGGGCCGTGGTTTGGGCTTACAAGCCTGCCAGCTGGGTTCCTGGGGTACCCTGGGGTGGGGTGGGGGCAGCCAGGGGGTGGAAGCCAGTTCCCAGGAAATGGGGACAGCTGCACCGCAGTGAACATCAGGTTTGCATACCAGGCGGCCCACCCTCCCCAGCTGTTTTGGTGGGGCTGTGCCAGGTCATTCCAAAAATCAGCCTGAACAAATTTCTTTAGGGTGGTAATGTTGTTGCCAAGAAAAAAGGCATCCTAGAGACATCCTAGAGCTAGACTGAAATACACTAATTGGCCTGGTCACAATGATTTGGTCAACGACCCCTTCCAAGACTGTGGGTAATTGAAAATTACATAATAATAATGTGGCTCAGACAGTAAAGAATCTGCCTGCAATGCATGATACCCAGGTTTGATCCCTGGAGAAGGGAATGGCAACCCACTCCAGGATTCTTGCCTGAAGAATTCCATGGACAGCGGAGCTTGGCGGGCTACAGTCCATGGGGTTGCAAAGAGTAAGACACAACTGAGTGACTAACACTTTGCACTTTTTTTCCCAAGGTCACTGCCGCTTTGGCAGCACGGATGTATTTGTAACCAGAATTTGGGTCCTAGGCCCGCCTCTGCCGCAAGGCATTGACGCTGAGCCCTTCCGAGCCTCAGTTTCTCTGCTGTACACTGAGGATGGTGAGCGGTGCCTTGCAAGGCTCCTGTGCGGAGGGAGCGAGACGTCCGCTGGCCCCCATCTGCTTCCTCACTGGCAGCTGTCCCCCGCCACCCCCAGCCATGTGCAGCTCACCTGCAGGTCCTGGACTTTCCCGGGGGGAGAACACACTGGCCCGCTCGGCATTCAGGGTCAGAGACCTGGAGCCAGCTCCTCGCCTGACCCCCGGCCCCGCCCCTGGTTCCCGCTGCCAAGCCCTCTGGGGCGATCCTGCGAGGCTGGCCCGGAAACTGCCAGAGTGGCACCAAGGACCGAAGAGCCCTACCCTCATTTTACACATTGGGAGGCGGCCCAGACGAGATGGGTGGGAGACAGGCCAGCAGGGACCCGGCTTCTGGCCCCGACCTGGGAGAAGGCCAGGGTGGTGTCACCGCCTGTCCCTCCGTGGCCTGGGTTCTGAAGTCAGTGCAGGCCAGTGGGAAGGGGTGGCCCTGGTCCCCCAAGACAGTCTGGGGAGCCCTTCCTCAGGAAGCCAGAGAGATGTCCGAGTTACTTATTAACGGCCCCACACAGAAGGTGCAGACTGGGGCGGGAGCAGAGTCAGGTCCTCTTGGCAGGCAGTACTGAGCTGCCTCCCACCTTGGCCGCATGACCTTGGCACAGCTCAGCCCAGGGTTCGGCCTTGCCCAGAGGGCACCTGCACTGGCCGTTCTGGTTCTGTGATAAGAGCAGGGGCTGCCTGGCTCCGAAACAGGGGAAGGGCTTGAACAGGCAGACGTCAGCTGGGGTCCCACCCCCGACTGCTCGGGTATGGGGAAGAATGTGCGACATTCCCCTCACAGTTCTGCCACAAGGGAGTCCCTCTGTCCACCTTGGACAAGCTCCTCCCCGAAGGACCAGGGAAAGGGGCAGAAGGCAGACCCAGGCGGCGTCAGAGGCATCGAGCCCCTCTCCACCCCGACAGGGGCAAGGGCGGGCTGCAGACTCCGCTCCAGCCTGGGTGAAAGGGCAGGGCTGACACCCAGAAGGAGGGGCAGGAGAAGCCTCCAGCGGGGTCACCCCCGCACTCACACCCCTCCAGCAGGGTCACCCCCACACTCACATCCCAGCCCGTTTGACACCCTCTGCTAAGGCTGAGGGGACCCTGAAGCAGGAACAAGGGAGCCTGACCTGGGAGGGATCTCTAACGAGGCGGCTGCCCCGTCAGACCCAGATCAGGGCAGCACCCGCGCGTGACGACGTCCCCTGGCCCGGCGAGTGCTGGGCCCCCCAGTGCTCCCTGCACGCCGGTTAAGCTTGTAGTCTGCCTGAAACACCTCTCCCCACATCCTTTGCTTGCACCGCTCTCTCCTGACTTCAGCAGTCAGCTCAGAGAGGCCTTCCCCACGGAGCTAAAGTCACCCAACTCTGTAACCCCACTTCCTTACCTTATTTCCTTCATCTCACTAAAATACTCCTCCAGACTGTAAGCACCTTAGGAGCAGGGACCTGCATCATTTTCACTCTGAAAACAGGGGCTGGCTCAAGAGATATTTGTTAAATTAGTGAATTAAAGGCTAGGATGGTTTTGAGATTTTTTTAATTAAAAAAAAATTGAGATATAATTTACATGCCATAAACTATCTATTCAAAGCACACAATTAAGTGTTTTTTCAAAAATTTATTCAGAGTTATGAACTCATCACCATGAGCTACGAGCATTTATATCACCCCCAAAAGAAACCCTTCACCCATTAGCAGTCACTCCCCATTCCTCTCTGCACGAACCCTTAGCCCTAAGAAGCTCCTCATCTACTTTCTGTCTCTAGAGATTTTCCCAACTCTGGACTTTCACAAAAATGGCACCATAAGAGTGTGTGATCTTCTGTGACGGGCCTCTTTCACTTAGCATAACATTGTCAAAGATCACCCATTTATAGGATGAGTCAGGACTTCATGCCTTTTTATGACTGAAACACATTCCATTGTGTGGACAGACCACATTTTGTTTGCCCATCCATCTGCGGATAAACATTTGGCTCCTATGAATAGCTGCCATCATGCTATATAACGCTGCTATGAACTTTGATGTACAAGTTTTTGTGTGGACATGTTCTCAGTTCTTTGAAGAATATACCTAGGAGTGAAACTGTTGGGCCAGATGCTATCTCCTGTGGAGACAGATTTTTAAATCCCAGGTCTGTGGCATGCTGGAAGGTGGACAAGCTGCTGGCGGGAGAGGAGGAGGCTTTCTAGATGGGAGACCAACCCAGGCCTGGCTTAGATAAGGGAACTGGCTTTCATACTGTGTTCCCAGGACCACAGGGAGCCAGGATCCTGGGCAAGTAGGTCAGAGAGTGGCCTGGGGAAATGTCTATGGAGACCAGGTTTCATGCAGTGGGCAGGAGAGAGTCAGAGGTGGGTCTTGGGAAGGTGGGACTTGTAAGAAATTCAGAAAAAAAAAAAAGAAAGGTAGAGAAAAAGATAGTTAATAGAGCAAAGAGAAGACGAACTCAAGCCTTCAGTTAAGAGCACACATGCAGAGGAGACGCCCAGGTAAGGTGGGAAAGGTTGGGGAAGCTCTGAAAGTCATTTATCTGCCCTGATAGTTTTGAGATAAAAGGGTCTCCCAAACTGCCCAGGGTAGTAAGACAGGTCCCAGTGAAACCAGGAACAAAACCCCAACCTTCTGTCTAAATACCCACCCCTTCTTCCTGTCTGACAAGGCACATATCTACACACCCTGCCAACTAGGTGTCTTTGGGTTTTTTTCTGGAAAGTTTCCTGCTCCTGATAAGATTTTTCTAAGTAAGGTCAAGTCCAGCTTCTTCTAGCCCTAAATACACCCTTCTCCCTCTCCGCCTACATGTAGTGCCTCCTTGGAGCTCTCCGTCTATGTCAGAAGAGAGAGAGAGAGCTGGCCCCCCTTGAGCAGAGGGCTCCTGCCCTCCTCTGCACCCACACTGACGTTGAGGCTCTCCGCACCCAGTCCCTCCAGAGTCCCTGTGGAGGCAACCAGAAGCCCCTCGGTGCAGGCCAAGGACTGGGCAGGACCGAAGCAGGAGCCCCAGAGACAGGGCGCTGCTGTGACTCTCCCCTCCCTGCTGTGTGCCATCCCACACTTTCCCCGCTCCCTCGCAACAGCTGGCCCTCCCGGCCCAGTTTGTTAAACCAACCCCCACTGCAGAACTAGCGCACACTTGCAGAAATCACGTAAGCTGAAAAGCACTAGCGGCCTATTAGCATTTCAGCTCGCGGTGAGGCCCCAAGGAGCCCAGTCTGAGAGGCTGATTTCAGGCTGGCAGAGGTTCTGTTTGCTCTGAGGGAGGGAGGATTGAGATGAGCTGTACTGTACGGCTGTAGGTAGGTGACGACTCCTGTCTACGCACAGGCCACTCCTGTGACCTCCCTCTACTTCCACTGAAGTCTACCTTGCTCTTAACCAAGGGACAGGATCAGGATATGTTGTCTTGCAGTGGGAGGACTGAGGTTCACAATCTAAACCTGAATCACAGATGGGACATACTCCCCCTGCCCTACCTGACCCCCACCCATCACGTCCCAGCAAGAAGCACCAGAAGCCCACAGTTTCCTCCCCAGGAGTGTCTGCTTAAGAACACTCAGCCCATGAGCATGGACTGTATGCCTCTGCCTGGAGAGTATACAGTATAACTTGTACCCTGCTGAGCTGAAGCTGACTACTATGAGTCAGCTCGCTTTTTTATGAAAAAGCAAGAGGCATTTCCAAGCTATCTGGTTCTAGACACAAATGTGTGGGTTCATATCCTGGCCAGCTTAATAGCTGTGTGACCTGGGGCAAGTTTCTTAACCTCCCTGTGATTCAGCCTCCTGCACAAAATGGAGATAGTAGCACGACCCTATCTACAGGATTGTCATGAAGGTTAAATGAGTTGATACAAGAACATTACCAAGAAAGAAGCACTGAGTACAGTGCTTGTGTGCTCAGCCGTGTCTGGCTCTTTGAGACCCTGTCAGGCTCCTCTGCTCAAGGAATATTCCTGGCAAAATACTGGACTGGATTGCCATTTCCTTCTCCAGGGGATCTTCCCATCCCAGGTATCGAACCTGTGTCTCCTGCATGCCATCATTGGCAGGTGGATTCTTTACCACTGCGCCACAAGTAAGCCCAAGTAAGAACAGTGCTTGGCATGCCTAAATGCTCAAAAAAGCAAGTTATTATTGCTATCATGATTATTCTCCTTTTCCATGAGCCAGTTTCCCATGCCAAGACCCTTCCCACTGCCTGTTCAGAGCCCCTCGTTGAGTAAGGAGCCCTGAGGAAGGCACTGAGCAGGTAAGGAAGAGCCGGCCCAGTGGGTGTGTATCTTTGCTGTTCTCACAAATCCTGGCATGCCAACCTGCCATTTAGAATTATCCTCATTCCTCTTCCTGTTCTTTGCCCTACACAGGTTTCTAAAAAGTTCCAGGTAAGGGAGCTTTTGTAAGTCAAAATACTTAAAAAAAAGAGAAAAATACCCTGAATGATTTCTAATGAAAGCTGTAGGCAGAATCAGAAAGAATCTTGAGCTTTTTCTTAAGATTTTCTGAGTTCTCCACGCATCCACTCTTGTACAAAACCCACAGAAACACTAGTGTCCATAAGGACACTTGCTTCTTCAGAGGAGACTTCTTTGTTTACAAGAGGATTTTGGTCGTGGGGATAATCACTCCCGAATTGATCACGTTTGGTCAGCCGGGTGGCTTAAAGTGGCTCTCCATGTGTGGGCACCTGTGCTCCTCTCCATCAACTCTAGGGGACCCAACTCACAGACGCCTCTATCAGTGAGCCGAAGGGCAGCGCCTTTGGCCCAGAAACCCACCCCCACACCCCTGTGGTTTTGTTCCCAGGCTTCTGCTTGTCTGAGGCCATGCAGTCCAGGAAACCACCCAGCCAGAAGCCAGGACTAGGGAGACCGCCAGCAGCCGCTGACTTGCAAGTCATCTAGCCCCTGCTGTGGGTCTCTTCTCCCCGGAGCATCAGGAGAGTGGATCCTGCTGCCTTTCCAAAGGGCTCCATGGAGCTGGCCCTGTCCAATTCAAGCCTGGAGGATGAGGCTCTGCAACGGTAGGCAAAGGGGAACCTCTGGGGGCCACGCCAGACAGAGCCCAGAGCCCTGCCCTCGGGTAGACGCCGGGCAGGAGGAACACGGGGTGGGAGAGGCGGAGGCCAGAGATGGTCACCTCACTAAGCGATGGGTGGGTCACCCTGCACCTCCCCTTCGGTGACCTCAGCGCTAAGGTCCTGCCTGTCTCAGAGGCAGAAGGCTGCTGCCTGCAGGGGCCAGTGCCGGAAGCCCGGCGCCCCCAGGGGCAGGACCGCACAGGACTCACCAGCCCAGTGGTCACCCGGGAAGGGACACCCTTTGCTGGCTGCTCTGGAGCTGAGGATCTGAGTGGAGCCCGCCCCAGGGCACTCTGTCCAGCTGCAGCCAGCCCTGGCGCTGGGCACAGCCCCTGAGATCCACTCCCTCTCCCGCCACCTCACTTCCAATTCCGCCCCCGGCAGCAGGGGCTACGGACAGACCTCAGTCGGCTCGTGCCAGAGGCGACCCCGCCGCCTCGGCGAGCTCGCTGCCACTCTCCCAAGGGGGGCGGGGGGCGTGGGCTGGGGTGGAATAAGCAGGATGAGGGCTGGGTCTATGAGTAAGGGCAAAAAAATAATCTAAAAGTCACCTTCAGTCCTCGGGGAGAGTTTTGGGGGGAGTCCTGGGGCGGGGGGTGGGGCGGGTGGTAGGGAGGCAGCAGCCCTCCGGCTGAGGCAGGGCATGGCTGCCTGGCGGGGCGGGGAGGGGTGGTCGCGGCCTTCCGGAGGCAGGGACGACCCCCGGCGCGAGCCCGCGGGGGGCAGAAGGAGGGCGACGGGAAGGGCCGGGGACTGGCACTCACGTCCTCTTGAAGACGCCCCCGAGGGCGCTGCCCAGCAGGAGGCAGAGCTGCTGCGAGAAGAAGACCCAGGAGATCTCGGGCAGCGAGCTGCGCGTCTGGCAGCGCAGGTCCAGCAGCGTGGGCCCCAGGAAGGCGATGCACAGGCCGAAGCTGAAGAAGACGCTCCAGTAGGTGAGCGTGGGCTGCAGGTTGCGGCGGAGCAGCCCCGACACCCGGACGTCGCAGCCCATGGCCCCGGCCGGCGGGCTCGCGGCTGGGCCCAGAGAGCGCCCGGGGCGCCGTGGGCACCGCGACGGGGCCCGCGCCCTCCCCGCGCGGGGCCAGGCGCGGGTCTCGCCTCCTCCCCGCACTCAGATTTCCACCCTCCGCCGGCTACTGGAGACCCTGCGGGAACCACTTGTCACCCCCACCCCCTCTCCCTCCAGCTCCGTGTCTTTCCAGTCTCCTTATCCGGCCCCCCAGGGTCGGAGGACGCCCATCGGCGAACTGGGCAAACAGAGCCCGAGACGTCCGGCAAGGACACCGGGAGCGTGGTCTTCGGGCGCTTCTCTGAGGCTGCAGCTGCAAACCCTCCTCAGGCACCGTTCTGGCCTGTGCTTTCATGTGAAGGGACCCCGAGCCCTCTGCCCTAAACTAGGGGCTGCACTGATGGACTTCGCGCGTCCGACAGCGCCCAGTCTCCCCCTGGAATAGAAGGCAAAATCTCCTGCATACGTTTTTTTTCTTGGCAGAGTATTCCTGGCTTTCACCAGAAAGGTAGTCACTCTAAGCTCAGCAGAAGGGTCGGAGACACATCTCCTTGGTGCCCTGTCCAGGTGGGATGGAGGAACACGAAGGTGTTCTTCCAGACGCATCTCTCTCCTTTCCTCCTTATTGAGAAGGGGGTGAGAGGAGGGTGGGAAGAGCAGGGTAGTGACTTGGAGGAATTCTAAAACTGTCCTCGAGGGAAAGAAAAAAAGAGTTCTGAGGAAAATTGCCTTTTTTTTTTTTTCTTCGCTGGAAGAAGTGCTGGCTGGGGGGTGGAGTGGGAGGGTGTTAAACTCCAGACTGGGAGTCCTTCCAGGAGCCTGCAGCTGACACGGGCTGTTACTCCCCCCCAGGTGGCCATGTGGCTGTTGGGTCCTGCGTGGTCCTGCTCATGAGCGAGCCAGGCATCTGTCCTGCGCTGACCTCTGGGGCAGAGCAGAGAGGCCCCTCAGGTCACCTCAACCCAGGCGCTCTGGTAGCGGCAGGAGCCATGACGTCATGACCACTCGCCCCCCCACGGGGACCAAGGCTGAAACAGGAGGAGATAAGGGGCTGGGTGTCCGCATGATGGTTTGACATGTGGTGGAGGCAACCAGCCTCTCTTGCCTGTGCCGGTCCGCTCTCACTGGGCGCCCTAGCATCTGCCCCGTCTCCCAGGGTGTGGGCACCAGGCTGGGGAGCCCCAGGATCCCTCTGGCTTGGTTGGCCTATAGTTGATGACAGTTACTTGTTCAGTAGTGATTATGTTGGGCCTGCAGAGTACTTGTAATTAAGCAAAATGTTATCCTCTAGGGAGGGGGAGAAAAACAAATAATAACTGTAAACATTTAACTGAGTCCTCTCTGCCACTCTCAAAGAATTCCAGAAGCTCAGAGTTGGAAGGAGCTATCTCCAGTGGAGTCCCCTGTCCCCACCCCGTCACTGCTGATAAATGCTCATCAGTACAGTGCTGGACTGATGCCTCTTAGTGACAGGGACCTCACTTATCATTTCTGGGGGTCTGCTTCCAATGAGAATCACCTCTGGTTGTAGGAAACGTTTTATGCGGAACTGAAATGCTTCTCACTGTGGCTCCCCACTGCCACCCACAGGACACGTCTAATTGCTTTGTGCATACTAGTCCCTCACACACATAATGACCTCACCCCCACACTTGGCTTCTCCAGCCCAAATGCTTGAAATTCTTTCACAATTCCCTTAGATGGTACTTCCCAGTTATATCATCCTACTAGTTCAGCTCTTGACAGTGACTCTGGTACAGTGAGGAAGTCCACAGTGTCTGGAATGCTAGAAGCTTTCTATAACTTGATCTGGGGGGTGGTTACACAGTTGTGAACATAGAAATATTATACCCTGCCTTGAATGCAGCACCCGGTCACCTTACAGTCAAATCTTTCTGCCTTCCTTCTTTCCTTCCTTACTTTCTTCCTTCCTTAGGTGTGAGGCCCTTGAGCAGAGACAAACAAGTAAGTAACCAAGTAATAATGTACATTCTGTAACAGGAGTGCTTTGAGAGCCTGGGGGAGAGAAGCAGACATTTCTGCCTGGGAAGGCTTCATGGAACAGGTGATTACTAAACTGGATCTGGAAGGGCAAGGATGTGAAAAAGTTTTGCTCATGTGCTCTTTCTCCTCTTTCTCTGTCACGTCTGTTTNGGAGAGAAGCAGACATTTCTGCCTGGGAAGGCTTCATGGAACAGGTGATTACTAAACTGGATCTGGAAGGGCAAGGATGTGAAAAAGTTTTGCTCATGTGCTCTTTCTCCTCTTTCTCTGTCACGTCTGTTTTCCAGCACCATCACATTGTCTACCTCCTCCAGGAAGCTTTCTCAGAAAAATGTCTGTCTAGCTCCCAAGTCCCAGCAAGCCCCCTCCACTCCTTTTGCCCTACAGTCTTTGTAGTGTCAGCTGTTATATTTTACCAAGTGTTAGCTTCCTGTTCCTGCCACCCTGCCTCTTCCTGTGGCCAATTAAATGGTTAAGTTCTTAAGGACACAACTATATTTGCCTCTAACTCCCCACCTTTGCCTTCTTTGGGACTGAAGTGAAAACTGACCTTTTCCAGTTCTGTGGCCACTGCTGAGTTTTCCAAATTTGCTGGCATATTGAGTGTAGCACTTTCACAGCATCATCTTTTAGGATTTGGAATAGCTCATCTGGAATTCCATCACCTTCACTAGCTTTGTTTGCAGTGATGCTTCCTAAGGCCCACTTGACTTCGCACTCTAAGATGTATAATCATAAGGGATTTGATTTAGATCATACCTTAATGGCCTAGTGGTTTTCCCTACTTTCTTCAATTTTAGTCTGAATTTGGCAATAAGGAATTCATGGTCTGAGCCACAGTCAGCTCCTGGTTTTGTTTTTGCTGACTGTATAGAGCTTCTCCATCTTCGACTGCAAAAAAGTATAATCAGTCCAATTCCGGTGTCGACCATCTGGTGATGTCCATGTGTAGAGTCATGTCTTGTGTTGTTGGAAGAGGGTGTTTGTTATGACCAGTGCGTTCTCTTGGCAAAAGTCTGTTAGCTTTTTCCCTGCTTCATTCTGTACTCTGAGGCCAAACTTGCCTGTTACTCCAGGTATTTCTTGACTTCCTACTTTTGCATTCCAGTCCTCTATGATGAAGAGGGCATCTTTTATTTGATGTTAGTTCTAGAAGGTCTTGTAGGTCTTCGTAGAACTGTTCAACTTCAGCTTCTTCGGCATTAGTGGTTGGGGCATAGACTTGGATTACTGTGATATTGAATGGTTTGCCTTGGAAACGAACAAAGATCATTCTGTCATTTTTGAGATTGCACCCAAGTGCTACATTTTGGACTCTTTTGTTGACTACGAGGGCTACTCCATTTCTTCTAAGGGATTCTTGCCCACAGTTGTAGATATAATGGTCATCTGAATTAAATTCACCCATTCCAGTCCATTTTAGTTCACTGATTTCTAAAATATCGATGTTCACTCTTGCCATTTTCTGTTTGACCATTTCCAAGTTACCTTGATTCATGGACCTAACATTCCAGGTTCCTATGCAGTATTGCTCTTCACAGCATCAGACTTTACTTTTACCACCAGACACATCCACAGCTGGGCGTTGTTTCCTCTTTGACTCAGCCACTTCATTCCTTCTGGAGCTGTTTCTCTGCTTTTGTCCAGTAGTATATTGGGCATCTACTGACTTGGGGAGTTCATCTTTCAGTGTCATATCTTTCTGCCTTTTCATACTATCCATGGGTTCTTAAGGCAAGAGAGCTAAAGTGGTTTGCCATTCCCTTCTCCAGTGGACCATGTTTTGTCAGAACTCTCCACTATGACCCATCTGTCTTGGGTGGCCCTACACGGTGTGGTTCATAGTTTCATTGAGTTAGGTGAGGTTGTGGTCCATGTGATCAGATTGGTTAGTTTCCTGTGATTGTAGTTTTCATTCTGTCTGCACTCTAATGGATGAGGATAAGAGGCTTGTGGACCCTTTCTGATGGGAGGGACTGGCTGCAGGGAAAACTGGGTCTTGCTCTGGTGGGCAGGGCCATGCTCAGTAAATCTTTAATCCAATTTTCTGCTGATGGGTGCGGCTGTGTTCCCTCCCTGTAGTTTGGTCTGAGGCCAAACTTTGGTGGAGGTAATGGCTGTAATGGTGACCTCCTTCCAAAGGACTTATGCCAGCACACTGAGCCTCCCAGGACTGCTGTAGTCAGTGCTCTGACCCCATGGAAGGCCACAGTCAACCCACATCTCCATCAGAGACTCCTGGACACTCACAGGTAAGTCTGGCTCAGTCTCTTGTGGTGTCACTGATCCCCAGAGATCAAATTTCCAACATCCATTGGACCATAGAAAAGCAAGAGAATTCCAGAAAAACATCTACTTCTGCTTTGTTGATTACACTAAAGTCTTTGACTATGTGAATCACAATAAACTGTGGAAAATTCTTAAAAAGATAGGAATACCAAACCACCTTACCTGCCTCCTGCAAAACCTGTATGTCGGTCAAGAAGAAACAGTTGGAACCAGACATGGAACAACGGACTGGTTCAAAATTGGGAAAGGAGTACATCAAGGTTACCCTGCTTCAGTTCAGTTCAATTCAGTCGCTCATTCATGTCTGATTCTGTGACCCCACGGACTGCAGCACGCCAGGCTTCCCAGTACATCACCAACTTCCGGAGCTTACTCAAACCATCTCATCTTCTGTCATCCCCTTCTCCTCCCACCTTCAATCTTTCCCAGCATCAGGATCTTTTCAAATGAGTCTGTTCTTCGAATCAGGTTACCAAAGTGTTGGAATTTCAACTTCAGCATCAGTCCTTCAAAAAAATATTCAGGAATGATTTCCTTTAGGATTGACTGATTGGATCTCCTTGCAGTCCATGGGATTCTCAAGAGTCTTCTCTAACACCACAGTTCAAAAGCATCAATTCTTTGGCGCTCAGCTTTCTTTATGGTTCAACTCTCACATCCATACATGACTACTGAAAAAATCATAGCTTTGACTAGACAGACGTTTGTTAGTCACCCTGCTTATTTAACTTATATGCAGAGTACATCATGCGAAAT